CTTTCAAATATTCAAATCTAAAATAAGCGCATCTTGTTTAGATATTATGTGGTTCGGGTATTTAAGATCATGTGAACCCTTGTCTGTAATCTTCTATCATAAAAAAATCTTTCTGGCCTCCAGCACTCTTTTTTACAAAAGTCTTCAAGAAGTTGCAACTATCAATTTTCTAACTATATAAGAAGAAATATCAATTCATAACGCGACAAAAAATGCCTCGTGCTGTGAATAAGTATCCAAAATCGTAACAGCTGGAGAAACTCCCAAGCTCTTCCCGCAACGAGGCCTTAATGATAATTCGTTGTTTTGTATTCCTCTTTTCAGATTTATTCTGATATTAATGAATGGATACAATAAACATAAATAGGTATGATCTTCGTCACATTTAAGAATACAGAGACTGTATCTAAGTTGACAGTTATGACGTTTGAGAAGCAAAAATGAAACATTTAAATAAAACACTTTAACGGTTTAAGACGCGATATATTAGTTAAACTTATTTAAAAATGATTTTTAACTTCGGCCCGACGTTTCGGATGCTTTGCAGCAGCTGTGGTCACGGTCACTAATAAACACTATGGTAACTATGATAATAACCACTGATAACTAATATATCGCGTTTTAAACCGTTAAAGTGTTTTATTTAAATGTGTACTATTCGCGTTAACTATAGACAGTATTTAAAATCTCTATTTGTCCTTTAACATTAACTGATAAAAATCGCTCTTATGGTAATCAAATATTGGTCGACATACTTCATGGCATATGTAACGATCAAATATGGTATATTGTTAATGTTTTTTTAACTACAGCCTATTTTAAATTTAACATGAATTATTTTGTCTTTAAATTCTATAGTCAATCATGTACATTTTTGTAATTGTTAAGGCACATTATTGTAACAAAATAGAACTAGGGCAGATGAGGGAAAACTATTAGACAAGCAATACATCCCGTCTGATAGGACACGCACACGACGCATGTGCTTCTAGTCTTATGAACAATACTTTCAGATTAATCAGTCACGCGATCTTCTACCTAACATCTAATATCTTTATATCGATATTCTTGATAGATTTTCTTTAGTCTATGGTTTCCTTAATAAACATAGACTAAAGAAAATTTAACCTTTAGTTTAATACTTGAATAGCTGCGGCCTTTTTATGTATAATAAAAGGTCCATTTTGTCAAAACCTTTAATGATTAAGTTCTACTAAAGATTTTCTTTAAAAGTCTCCGAGCATCGCATTTGTTGAAGTTTATTTGAGAAATATTTGGAGAAAGCTGTTCACAAAAGGTTCACAATAAAAGTAATATAACTAGTTAGATCAAACATAACTGTACTTAAAGATTCGCTCACTGATGACAGCGAAAATGCACTGTTAAGATAAATTGTAAACAAGTTATTTAATATACTTCTGTAACTATTAAAACTGGTTTAATTTAATCGTGACGACGGGCTCGTTCGTGTAATGGCAGTATGTATGTAATGGAAACAGTAGCAATGTATACTAATAATTAACGAGTCGTGGGTCCAAATTTTTTCTAATCAATTTACAATTTTTCTGAAACATTTTAGACTGCGTCTGGAAACGTGGATTTTCAATTGGTGGTAGGAATATCGAATTCCGACCGGATCACAAACCATCTAGACATGACAAAAGCCGTCAAGTTTAATCACATTTCGGTTTCAGTCTGTGGATTTTCGAATATCCAAAGCCAAAATAGGCCGACAGCGCATTTTGTTTCGATGCTATATTCTGGGGTATTTCACCTGCTATCAAGTGAATCCAATCCTAATCCAATCCCTTGTCTGTCCTCCTTTATCAGTAAACAAATGTATTTTCTAGTTCCACAATTCACTCGTTAAAAATAAATTATTACGAAAGTAAAACTTTTTTGTATTTGACCACACTTTTATGTTAACTTGAATTGTTAATTCCTGTATAGCTTAATTTATGATTTATTCCCACACAAAGGTAAGAACTAAACGTCGTATCGGCTTACACGTATCCCAACAGGGGATAATTGGTCGGTAGAGTTTCAGGGGAACTATTTACCGGCAGGATAATTGCTCTGTAAACCTGCCCGTGTCGACATATCTGTATCACACACTTATTGATAGTTTGCACGAATAATTGCAGCTTCAGATTAAGCGGCGTTATCGGTAGATTACAAAAATGGTCGCACTCTGGTGTGTTCTGGTTGTGGTGTAGTGTGTTTGTGTTGTGGTTGTTCTGGTAGTGTGTAGAATACTAACGTTGTGCATTTGAATATTTTGGAATGAGAACAAGAGCTCTTGTACATACCATAAACATCAGGCCCTTGTCCCTTTATAAAGTTGTAACTTGAACGTATAAAAACTTCCACAATCATAAATAGGAACAAGTCATGGTACACTGATGGTTGGGGAATCATTTTCTAAGAATTTAGTTAAACGGCTACTATAAAAGTACTATTATATTTATGTGAAAATTTATAATTATTTCTTCGTACTCAATCATACACAAACATGACAATGTTTAACAAAAAAAGTGCACAATGACGCTACAACAATCTTGAAAGTTGAAAGACTTTGAATGAACTGTAACACATGAAGATACATGTTTCGCTTGTCATTCAAAGTCAAAAGAATACCTGCCGTATATATGTAGAAGCGAGTTTTAATTTCGTGTTCTCGGGTCATATCACTTCTTTTTTATCTCATTCCTGTTGCTTAACGGAGCGAGCTTTATTGAAGCTGTATTTTCCACTTAAAACTCTATTTCACGGAAGTATAGAATTTTTATGAATTTAAATTGTTGACTCAAACCTTTTTCACTATTTAATATAGTACAGTATAAAAGCTTATTCCAATAAATACTTCTTGCGTTCTAAGTCAAAAATATATATTTACTCAACTAAGCCGAAAAAAATGGCTATTACCTTCAGCCCTTTTAGTTTATATATTTTAGTATATATGCTCTGTAATGTATGTATAATTTAGTCTTCACGCTGTCTATGTATAAGTTTACACGTTAAAAGTGTTTTACAAATGTTTTACCTATTTAAAGTAAAGTTTCATCATGTAGGTAACTGCGATCAAGTCAACAGTCCTTGAATTAATAAATTATATTGTAGTAATGGTTACAGTATATAGAACCTTATTTTTCATATATAAAACATAACCCGATTAGAAACACCAAGAGTTGTTACACGCAATTCGATTAATTATAGTATTAAGTTAGCTCTTACATAGCTCTGTAATGGCGACATTATTCTATTAGTTCTGGCAAGCTCATGATACAATTAAATATGGTATGCCATTATAATGGCTGTGTACATTGTTACATCTTTTGATCTTAGAATTATATATATATTTTCAAACATTGTCTTTTAATCTTAGTCATACATTTAAAAATACGTTTTTTATGTATTTAATACATAGATTATAGGAAGGATACTATGTGTATTCATAATTCATCATTCAACATTTTTGTAACTAATTTATATTTTTTCTGAAACATCTTGACTTCGTATGGAAGGCTGAATCTTGACCTTCGTGCGCTTGCACAGTTTGTAGATAATTCCAAAAATTCAAAGCCAAAAAGGTCGACAGCAAATCTTTTTTAATTTATTACATACCTGGAGTATTTTACCTACTATTAAAAGACGTCCATACTTTTTTGCCTTCTCTACCACAAAAAAGTTACAAGAATTGTTCTCAGTATAAAAACAATATTTATTATTTCCTAAACAAGTATTAAATGTATCTTCTTAAAATTAAAGATCAGAGAGTAAATATTACTCAGCGGAATCAAGCACGGAACATTGTTAGATTCCAGTCCCGTATATGTCATTGAATTTTCACATCGCTAATGGATATGTAATTTTAATTTACTACCAATTTCCTTATTCCATGGGCAAGCTGATGTTAATAACATTATAATTTGCAGCACTATTACTGCCCGCTTTGGCCGCCCGCTGTGCGCTGCTAGAAGATTTATTATAATCACGAAACTACTTTAAGAATATGAGACGTGGACTATTTAAGAAGTGATACTCACCGCCTGAAAAATATTTTCTAGAGCCCTATATTGCCTTAAAATGTTTACAGACCAGTATAAAGTGAAACGTTTAAATAGTTTTATTTTTTGCGTCTCCACTTTTAGTTCGATTCGTTTGACTTGAGTTATTTATTACGTCATCGGTTCGAATGAAAAATATCTTTTAATAAATAAGTAATTAACATTCTTATACAGGCTGCTGTTTGATATCATTTTATTCATAATAAGCTTACTTTAAATGTAAGTATGTGTAACGTTTTTTATAATGTTGTCTATGTCCTTCTTGTGTTAAAGTGAGTGTTAATCTTTATTTTATCTTATGCTTTAGATTCTCACAAAGCAGAAGTAGGTAATCTACTCGATTTTTAGCATATATGTAATTAGTCAAAGCGTTATACATATTATCATAACGTAGTATGATAATATACGAATTTCCCAAATGAATTATTTGTGCTATTCATTCTAGAATGTTTTTGTAAGAAAAAAAGAAATCGTTAAAACCCAGCCCAAATATACACTCATATTTTAAATACATTTTATATTTAGACAGTGTATTCTCCTTACGTCTCCTAAATACACAATATACTACACTTTATTTAAAGACTAGACACAGCATTACAGTTACATCGTATTGATACAAGTGACAGCACTAACGATGGTCTGAAACAAGATTAAATCACGTTATAATCTCAATCCCTTCCTAACAATACCGTGCCGTAATTACACGTAAACTACGAACAGAGACAATCTTTATTATAGTGTGATACAAATATATTGTATGTATGTAACAGTTCTGCGTAATTATTTAACACAAATGGGAAATTTGGGATAGATATCGACGTTTACATTAATAGCTATAGTAAATTTAAAAATATCTTCGACGCAGTAGACATATAATAATTGTGTGAAGACGGCCTCATCTCTACAAATGATACCTTCCTAGTTACCTTTAATATGGAAAAAGTAAATGAACTAAAATGTGCACGCGTGTCTCTATTTATATTACTCGTATTGCCCTCACTATATACTGACACTAATAAAAAGGGTGGAAGCGGATTTCTCGTCTTCCCTCTCGTTCTACGGCCTTTATTTGAGGCTTTTTTTAAACTGGTGGTGATACATAAACGACGCGGGGCATTCGTTAAATATCGTGGTAAATCGCACTACAGCCTCTGTGTTTAAGCTGGTAGTACCAATGCTACCGGAGGCGAGAATCTACCGGAACCACTAAACACAACACCAGCCCGGTATTGTGCTTTCTTGGGAGCCCTGGGAACACTTCAACTCCCAGAAATTGATTTAAAGCAAATTTAAATGTAAATTAAGACAGTTTGGTAGCTATAAGAGGTATTCATTGTTTTGTATATTCCAGGTCGCCACCACGCGGTTACCGCTGCCAAGGTTTTCGCCGCGCGCCGTGCTTATGTACAGCGCGGCCGTGGGGGGCGAAGGCGTAGCGCTACAGCTGCGGGAGGCCACACCGGCTGAAATCGACGCGAGGCTGGACGAACGGCTGGCAATAGCCTGCCACGAACCTGAACTGCTCGCTGACTTGCTACACGCCGCTGCTGATATCGGTAAGCTATATCTACACCAACAGAACCATAAAATGACTACGTACAGGGAATCCAAACATTTCCTTCGAAAAATTTGATGTTTTTTTTGATGGTAAAGAAGGACAGACAAGCATGATAGAAGAAGAAATACCTCAGCGATATAACATGTAAATAATATGGGCTATTAACCTATTGTGAAGAAGATGTTGGTTTTTACCACCCATTTAATATGAAGGTTTTCGGACGAATAAGGTGATGAAAAACATGTTGGATCCGGTGGGAATCGAACCCACGACTCCGTGATTATTAGCCGTACATTGCTAACATTTCATCAACGACACTTATCTCTATAAAACTCAGGCAATTTCCTAGAACAATTAGGCCGGTTTATATACAAATATCTCTTGTTACCTTCTTTTATAATTTTTAATTTTCTTTTATCATCAATTGCATAAAAAAAAATATTATTACTTTATCATTCATTTTGTCACTGTGGTAAGCTAGAATTATTCAATTATCATAAAAACTAAATTAATAACCGTTCAATTCAATTGTTAACATTTTAATATCATTAAGTGTCTGTGGTTACTAACAATACATCATTACGTTGATTTCATAGTCTTTTTCAACAAACTCTGCGATCTAGATAATAATAACAGTCAACTAAACATGAAAGTTAATTATAACTATATTCAAAAACAAGTGTATCTTTAACAATTTTAACTAAACAACAAACCTATGTAAATCCCAAAATATCGTTCAAACGAGTGTTGGTGTTCACCTGGTTTTATTTGAGTACCAGGAAAAGAATCATGAGATATTTCTACGAGTCCGCTATGTTGGTGTTTTGAATTTCAAATTTCGAATTCTACATTCGAAACTGGCGCAGGCTATCGTTCAGGCCTAGGCAGTAACGATATCGCAGTCGACTAGAAACGGGAGGTTTGAAATATATGAGTTTTTAATTTCCGTGAAGACTGAAATTGCGTATTGCTTTATGAGAACGACCAAGAGAGCATAAATCCATTCTTCTACGATTGGTATAGCAAAAAAAGATCAATCCCTTTAAATAAAAACATTCTTATTTTCTTGAAGTCAGAACTTGTTAGATTCAAACGTAAAATACAGGTTAGCGGAAGTATTGAGGTTAGGTAAAAAAAAAAACAAATATCGTGGATTCGAATTTTAAACCTTGAGATCCTACTACTACTACAACAAAGTCAAAGTCGTTTAAAATGTAATACACTAGAATATGTAGCCCTTGAAATGTTTCTAATGACACACTGTTCATACAAGTCAAGTGAATAATCCTTTCTGGTGTTATTCTCAAGTGTTTCTTTGATCTTGACTCGTCGGGTGTTAATTACCGACTCACTCTTACATTATCAATGGAGTAAAGCTCTTTGCTCTTACGAACAAAAGTTCTTACTCATCGTAGGTACTTTATTTAAAACTCACTCTAAGATACTTAATAACTTTTTGCAATAATTTTATTGGCTTCTAAAGCGCCTTGCCAAAGTCAACGTTGTGAATAAAAAAGTTTTAAAAGACGGAATTACCCTGTAATTTTTCGAACAATAGCAACTGCTTTTGAAATACAGTTGTTCAGTGGTAACAGTATTTAAAAAAAAAATATAAATTTTGGAGGGGGGAAAAAAAAAAAAAAAAAAAAAAATAAAAATTTTTTTTTAAAAAAATTTTAATCCGGGGCGGGCCCTTGGGGGGGGGGGGCCGGGGTCACGGGGAGACAGTGTTTAAATATTAGTATACGGTAGCAGTATTTGATTAAAGATTAAGATTAACGTCCAGCACTTAGTATAAATATTGCAATTCGATGTTTGATTTTTTTAATAAAAAGTAGGATGTTAGTTCCCTTCGGTTCTAATCCATGGATTTCCGAATATCCTTGAGTTAGCTCCGTTTTTAAAAGATTTTTAAGACTGCATAAATAAATCTGTCATTTTTGCCCATGATGCTGCTGCTGTATGATAAAAATATATATATATATATATAATATATATATATATGATATAACTTTGAATAATTTAATTGGCTTCTAAAGCGTCCCAAGTCAACGTTGTGAATAGTAAACTTTTAAAAGAGGGAATTGGCTTAGATGGTTTCAACAATGGATTTTTAATCCACTTAACATCGTCACAACTTAATTAGCTTTCGGGCCAGCCAAAATTTTTATTGTCATATATATTCCAGTTTTTATAAATATGTTATGGCATAGGCATTTTATCTCCTATCCATCACTTTTCTTTACATTACCACATTCAATAGATTCAAAATATGTAAGTCCATTTTCGAATTTTTTTTAAGAAACAACCTTGATTATTATGTCTTTTGATAACATATTTAACAGAAGTTAAAATGAGTTGTCTCATCAACAAGCAAAAAAATCTCTAGGACGTCGTCAGCTCTACTTAAAAATGCTAACTCATGCAAACAAGCTACGGAAGCATCTAATTGAATTATATCTCCCCTAAAACGATGGAATATTTCCTCTTTAATCTAAAATTGGAACGATCTTTACCGATCCCGAAATATTACAGGATAAATATGATAATTTATTATTACACAATAATTCGTGCTATCTGTGGATTTATTCAATTAGCATTAATTGTTTTTGAGTCTGATGTAAATATGGTAATCACTTGCAATAATAAATCAAGAATGTGATTAAAAAGGCTATCGATTTACAGTTATAACGAATTGTAATAAACGTAACTTCAGTGTATAGAGAGAAACCTTATTGTTGTTTTCTGAAAGAACTATCCGGTACTACTTTTAACGGTTTAAAACGTGAAATGTATTAGTTTAACTTTACAAATTATTTTAACTGCGGCCCAATGTTTACTAAAACAATTTGGAAAGTTTAACTAATAATACATTTCGCGTTGTAAGTCGTTAAAAGTATTTTGTTTGAATGTCGCGTAATGTAAATCGCTTATAATAGTAAAAGTATAATCGCGTAAACTAAAGATAGTATTGAAGCCTTCTGTTTTATTTAATCTTTATATAACTTATTAGTTAATTCGTCATTTTATAAATTGAAATTGTTTAAAAGATATTTCTGTGCCTGTATTAACCTGTTATTTATTTTATGTGTTACTTATTTTAATCATAAATTCGCAAACAAAACGTACAATATACACTTTTGTGTCGATGTTATCTGACAAGATTAACGGAGATTTATAATTGAACCCGCATAAACAGAAATAGGCTGTTTCTATTAAATTTTACGACAAACAGACCCTCATATAACTTTGTTAATAAACCTTACGATATATTGTAGACAGATGCCGCTGACTCTCGATAGGAGACAATACACGATTCTACTATTAACTTCGAAAGTAATGCTGTGGTATTTGTACATATTTGTTACTTGGACGGTTTTGAGTTATGACATCGATCTTGATGTACTGTTTAATTAGAATTTTCTATATTAATATATGTGTAAAGCTTATTTGTTTATTCGAAAGCACTAATCTCAGTAAAAGTGGTTTGAATTGAAAAGATAGACATATACATAAATAGTGTCGCGCACTTTTTTAGATCATTTAATGAGGTATCGTTCTCACATACATATTTTTAGGTAGCTTGAACCATTTTCGCAGCGTACGCGTCGAAAACCGACAAAGATGAATATTTTTCCCGTTTTTTCCACATTTCCCGCTGCTTCTTCGCTCCTATTAGTCACAGCGCGATGTTTTATAGCCTATAAGCTTCCTCGATATATGCTCTAACCAACATAAATGAAAATATTTTTTCAGTAGTTCCTCAGATTAGCGCGTTCAAACAAATTCTACAGCTTTATATATTAGTATAGATTATTATAATAATAAAAACAGTGATATTTGTGTAGATTAGTTTTTATCTAGATCATTATTGGTTGCGAGAAGGAATTGTTCTAAAATTTTGCTTCAATAACTTGCCCCTGGTAGATGATTGTCCTTGGAAACGTCAATTACCGAACTTCAAAGTAATGATTGACATAAGCTGTCGTGAGTTTCCAGGTATTCAAAGAAATTCGGGCGGAATAAGTGCTCATATAATTAAATATCCGACGTTGTAGGGATCCTTGTGAATTAGACGTTTTCCACAACACAGCTTTACAATGCTTAAATATAGTACGAGTTTTGTAAAAAAAAAATGATATATAAAATGTGTTAAAAGAATATATGATTTAAATAAAACACTTTAACGGTTTAAAACGCGATATATTAGTTAAACTTATTTGAAAATTATTTTTAACTTCGGCCCGACGTTTCCCTCCCCGTAACCACGGCTGCTGCAAAGCATCCGAAACGTCGGGCTGAAGTTAAAAATCATTTTCAAATAAGTTTAACTAATATATCGCGTTTTAAACCGTTAAAGTGTTTTATTTAAATGTGTACTACTCGCGTAAACTATAGACATAATATATGATGTCATATTCCACCATGGAAGATTAAGACGGTAGCTCAACCAGTAATAAACGGTGCTTTGTTGCTTGTGGGTTCTCGCCTGTATCATTAAAATTTTTAACTTATAAAATAATTTTGTGTGTTGTTATAGTAATTCAAGTGTATTATTGCCTATCTTCCTGTCCATATTTTCATGCTTCCATCGCTTCAATCATCAATGGCGCTTTGTACATTTGAATGAACAACTTTTTGTTACCGGATTGTTTCTTGTACCGGTATTTTATATCTTCTGAATCAACATGTGAATGACGTGCTAAACAATTTAAATGTGTACAAAATAATGATTTCTTAGTTTATTTATGTAAAATAACGCGTTTTATAGGCGATAAGGTAAAACGAAAAGCTTTTAAACTCTTAAACATCTTACTGTCCTTAAACACAAAAAGGTGCACTAAATTTACTAATCCATTGTTTCGTAACGTCCCTTTTAAATTCCTAAGTCAAGATAGCATAAGAAAGGGAAAAAAGAAATAAATATTTACCTTCGTTTCCTTTGAATATCTAATGTACGGATCTGGGGAACTTTTAACAGATTAATTAAGTTACGTAAAACGGAGATAACCCAGCTACGTTTCAGAACTGAAGGAAAACTTCAGGGATCTATCTTTACTGAGTACCTGCAACGTGGAAATAAGTTTTGAATGCAACTGAAGATCTGCAGTCGCAAACGTTATAGCGCAATAAAATGGCTTAAACTTTCTTATTAAGAGGCATTTTATGTTATCAACAATGAATATAATATCGAGATGATATTTCTCTGTATTATTGTGTAAATAACGGCGTTTGTAATATTGTTACTTTCAATTGTTATAGTTTTGAAGAAAGAAAGCTTATATAAATTCCAAATTTCAAAATGGCGCGTTTACTTAATTTTTAGAACAAAAGTACGGTCAACTGTAGATTGTGTGCCCAAATCTACAGTGTATATTACTATTTTTACAAAATAAAACAACATATAGATGTTTTATTTAATAAGGTTATAAACACAACTCTTTGCTTGTATAAGTACATCCAAATATGTTTCAGTACTTGAGAGCTGTACTTGCATTCACATTTTTTTTTATAATAATCGGACAACGTGGTAGTGTGTCAAAAGCATTAAGATGGATATGTGCCATTACAAATTGCAGTATCCACGTTGTCAATTTTCCATTTAACATAAGCATTAATCAACAATAGCTTAACAGCGCCCCGCCAAGAAAAATAATTACATTAATTGTTTTCCTAAGCCTTCCTTAAACAATCGCAAGAACCTCTCCAAGCACAAAGGTTTTTGGCTAAAGAAATTGCTTTCATTCACTTTCAAAGACATAAATTAAATGAGAGTCATTGAAGTAAAAACCATCTCTAATTAAACACATTCTTGAGCGAAATGAAAACAAGTGCGGCTCTCAGATCTTTTTCAGAGTCTAGGACAAAAGGAAGTGCCAGCTTTACGTCGTAATAAGGGAGTAGCTCAGACTTTTTCATAAAATAATAACGGCGAGAGAGAGTCGCGGCAGGCGAGTGTCGTAGAAAAATCCCACGCCATAAAATTGCAAATGAAGACGTAATATCGCCGCGTCCTCCACTTGACTTAGTGCCCGAAACTTAGAGATTGCTCAGAGCACGAATTTGCAACCGCTATTTACCCAGTGTCATTTAATTAAGCTGAATAAACCGAGTGAGCGGATAAAACCCAGTCTGACTCTGGGACAAGCCCGTAATTAATGTTCACCGACCTGAACTTAAATATTATTATCGAGTATTAAATTGTATTAAAACGTCTTATTCTATAAAACTAATAAAATTAAATTGATGAGAACCATGAACAATAAGTAATATATTGTGTACGTAAGTATTTTCTGTAGTTTTCGCGAGTAGTACTTACACATTTAAATAAAACAATTTCAACGGTTTCACACGAAACATATTAATTAACTTGCAGCAAAACATCGTAAAGCCTCGGGCCGTACCGTAAGATAAAGAAATGATAACTACGTTAACTAATATATTTCTCTTTTTAAATCGTTAAAAGTGTTTTATTTGTGTGTACATAATTAGTGAAAGTATATTGTATTTAAAGATTTTTTTGCATAATGAAGTAACCGCCTATATAAACATATATAATAATTCTTTGAGTACATTTAATTAGTGATGCCTATATAAATCTTAAAGACAGTTACCATAGTCCTATCCTTTTTAATACAATATGAGTTATGTATTTCTTTTACAATGAAGAAGGCCGCTAGCGTTAGTATATATACAAAGGAACAAAAACAAAATAGACACTATTAATTAATGCCTTTTGTAATTTGTGCCGTTCAAAATAAAACACAAGAAAGCCAAGATGAACTTGCTAGACCTCGCCAACGAGTCAAAGATCTTATGAGGCTACTCAAGACTTACATAATAATTATGACCAAGTAGCCTTGAGGCGGGACTAAGAAAATTGCTCAAATGCCATAAATAATTTATAGGGATTTGAAGTAGCTCAAGTTTCAAGAGCTTTCGGTACCACGGGTCTCGTTCAATGCCTTTGTCGAAGTAATTATGGTACAATTTAATTTGAAAGCATTTACGAAACGAGCCGTGTTTTGGTATAAGGATCATTCTTTAATTTTTCTCGGAATCACAATCAATTATAATGTTCCACGATGAACCTGTTTCGTTCTTCTGTTTATCTATGAAAAATAACAACAAACAGACAAGAACGACTCGGCATATAGATAACTTCAAAAATTATTTATTCATAAAGGTATTAGGTACACTTATGAATATCAGATCAGTAAAAAACTAAAGAAAAATTAAATTTATAATTAGCTACTACGAGTTCTCAAATCATGGGCGTAGAACGAAAAAGAAGAACTGGCAAGCATCTCGCCGCCATTACAACGTACTATAAGTGCAATACATATTGTTTCCTGTTAGAGCGGGCTTTTCCAAACCCCAAGAACTTTTGTACGTATGCAAATTTGGTTTTGCAAACCTTCATAATGAATATTTTAGCTGTTACCCACGGCGTGTTCCGCGTCCATTCGTTTGCGCCCCCCCGTCGTTTTAGCAATAGTTAATCTTAAGTTCGTTCGTTCGTTTAAGATAGGCATATACTGTCCCGAACATTTTTTAGATAATTTCAAGAGGAGTGATTGTATACTGTCTATAGTTTACGCGAGTAGTACACATTTAAATAAAACACTTTAACGGTTTAAAAATTAGTTAAACTTATTTGAGAATGATTTTTAACTTCAAAGCATCCGAAACGTCGGGCCGAAGTTAAAAATCATTCTCAAATAAGTTTAACTAATATATCGCGTTTTAAACCGTTAAAGTGTTTTATTTAAAGGAGTGATTGTTTTATACATATTTTTCTGTATCTTGAACCGTTTTCGCAGCGTAAGCAACCTTTCCCACATTTTACCACATTTCCCATTGTTTTTTCGCTTGTACTGGTCGCAACATGAAGCTTTGCCTTTCACAAAGATTTTTTGTATTCGAACCAGTACTTCCTAAGATTAACTGAACACATTACAACAAACAAACAAACTCTTTAGTTTTATAATATTAGTACAGATTTATACTTGTTTATTGGCAGTGAAAGTTATAAAAGCACTTTCAGGGCTTACATAAGGCCGTCAAGGCCGCGTATATAAGGCAAGGCTTGTTTTAGTAATCTTCCAAACTAATATCTGACTATTTCCCAAGGCGAGCATGATGGTCTGACGGCTTTGCTGGGCGCTGCTTCTCCCGAACTGGCCTTGGCTTCCGACGCATCTGACAGCCTACCATTACCCGATAATGACAGGGGTAAGTGTATAGCAACCACCAATCCACCACCAACGATATTAAAATAAACATACAGATTAACTATCTCTTTTATATATTCACTTTCTATAAATTCAATTTAAAAATAAATTGCGAAAGAAATAGATTTCGCCCTTTAGTTTCTTTAATACTGAGTCCTTTTGAAGCCTTTATATTAACTTCTAACGTCCCGTCTGACATGATAGATGGTAAAGATATCATTTGAATGGGTAATATTATGTATCTATATAAATATTCTTCTTCAACTTTCTTCAAATACGATAAGTATTGTCTGTAGCTAACGCAAGTAGTGACACAAAAGAAAATCTTTTTAACAAATTAAAAATCCATTTAGATTGAAAAAAATTGACGACACTTTGATATAAATCGATTTTTAATTCATAAAAAATGTGAAATACATAAAAAAAAATTTTAGTTTAAAACAAAATATGTTAGACAACATATTTTAACTGTGTTTCGAATACTTAGAAACAGCCATGATTAGGGGACGTTGTTAAGACAATCTAATATTATTTAATGTATCGTTTTAAACCGTTAAACGTGTTTTATTCAACTATCATATTAGGTTCTCAAAACAGTTTTGAGCGTTACATGTTTGTCTATGATTGCTAATTTACATATCGCATAAAGGAGGAATGCTCCCGTATCAAATATCGCCGTTTCTATTCGCAAAACATGGAATAATTAATCTTTCATTAAAGCCATCGCACTTCATTAGTTTCGGTAGAGATATTCGCTAATGTTCAGAAACCGCATTCATCTGCCTACACAGCTCGAATTAATGTGTGCCATTAGGAGCAGCTATTTTGCGTTACCTCATAAAACTTCACCCGAATTGATCGCTGATTTAATGACGAACGCGAATAAAGCTCAGCAAATTGTTTCTCTTACTAATTGCGCTCTACTTTTTTTCTATGAACGCTTTTTAATTAAAACCTTGTTATGCTTTATAATTTCCTTGTTTCTATTCGTTGGTCAGATCGCGAGATCTCTGTTTTTTATACTGGCTCAGAAACACTGTTTCTTCGAAAAAAAAATTGTTTGACAGGCTCGTCGGTGTAATGGTAGTACAATGTATAACTCATAGTCAACGGGTCGTGTGTTTGAACCCCACCAGGTAAGATAAGTATAAGTTTCTAATCAATTTATGAATGTTTTGTATATCTTGGCCTTCGTCTGGAAATCTTTATATTTTAGGATATACTTGGTAGGAATATCGTAATTTCGTCCGGATCGAACCACCATCGCAAATGAAAAAGCTGTTAGGTTTGATCGCGTTTCAGGTTCAGTCTTGGGTTTTCAAAGGGCAAAATAGGCTGACAGCACATCTTGTATAGATTTTATAGGGCTGGGGTTTCACATAACAAGCCAATCCCATACTGTTTAAAACGCCAACGAAATAACTAAGTTAACAGACGAAAGGAAAAAAACATTTTTATCATTATTCAGAATGCACTTAAATCTGCTTTATATAAATAAAGTACAGAAGTCTTCCTATTGGAATATTTTCAAATTGCATTAGCGATAAGACGGTTGAACGGAAACTCGACAATCTGCTGACACACGTATACGAAAATTCTATTTGCATATTAGGTTTATATTTCTATAGTTGTCCTTTACTAAATGCTATTTATTTTTCTCGCTCTATATAGAAGAGGATATATAGTAATATACCTTGTTAGTTTGTTTGCCCGTCACCGGACAGCATACTTACAAATGATCACATTTTTAATATCGGAACATGACCGAAAATCGATCTCGTGGCAAACGAGTGTTACCACTATACCAACTATTATTGCATACAAAAAATATAATTGAATTTACTTCATGTCTTTTACTTAGTCTGTTGCGTCTTTAAAGACAAGTTGAACACTTCTTGCTACATTTTTTTTTTATGGTACAGACAAGCATGGGGATCTTTTGACTATAGATAAAATATCCCAGCTATATAACATCTACACTGGATGCCCTGTGGATCTATTTTGGGCTTTGGCTATACGCAAATCCACAGACACGATTAAACTTCACTTTTTCATCTGTGGACAGTGTTGGTCCCGGACGAAATTTCGATATTCCTACCACCAATTAAATATAGAGGGACATCTCAATCACTCTGGTGTCGCGAGATATGTATTTATTTCTTACATGATAATTTTGTAATACACTTATAAATCTGGATTCTCTGCCTTAAATATTATTACATATTAGATACTGTCTATAGTTTACGCGAGTAGTACACATTTAAATAAAACACTTTAACGGTTAAAAACACGATATATTAGTTAAACTTCGGGCCGAAGTTAAAAATCATTTTCAAATAAGTTTAACTAATATATCGCGTTTTAAGCCGTTAAAGTGTTTTATTTAAATTATTTCATATTTTTAAGAATACTAATTCAACCATTAAAGTGCTAAAGAAAGAGCACAAATAAAGATTTAATTCGACCTGCAGTATACAAGCCGCAATTACGGAGTATTCTGCTGCAAAACATTCCTTGTGCAGTCGGATCCGTCTAATCTCATAAGCTCGTTAAAGTCATTATGGTAAATTTAACTAAAATATATTCTTGATGAAAATATTTTTATGAGTGAACGTAAATAATCACCGAATACTATTAAAAAATAAAACTTAAGAAATCATACGATTCTTTTAATAAAGATTTGACATTGAATTTAAAATCTATCGGAAGGTTTAATATGTTATATAATAAAAATAGACTAACATTGCCCGCAACTTCGTCCGAGTGGAATAGTTATTTTAGGCATATCTACTAACATAAACAACGTCCTCAGTTTTATGAATTATATCTGTTATCCACGAAGTCATCTGCGTCTCGTCGTTCTTGCGAGTTGATGTTAAAAGATAGATTAATACTCTTCCAGACATTTTTTAAATCGCACGTAACGGAAACACTTTTTCCTACATTTTCCAGTGTTCCTTCGCTTCTATTGGTTACAACGTGGTGCTATAAAAAAAAAGCGTCCCTCGATAAATGGTCTATCCAAATAATACCTGTAGTTTACGCGAGTAGAACACATAAAAAACTCTTTAACGGTTTAAAACGCGATGTATATTAGTTAAACTTATTTGAAAATTAATTAAATAAATTTTCTATCCAACTCAATTAATTTTTAAATTTTAACCAATAGTTCCAGAGATTAGCGCGTTCAAACTAACAAACTCTTCAGCTTTAAGAAATTAGAAAAGATATGTTTTGAACTACGAGATGTTTCGAGCTTTTTAGCAACAAAAAGCTACGGTTTTCAATATGGACAACTCAAGTAAACTACAGACCTGGCGACGACAAAACAACAAAGAGACTCTAAATTATATTTTTATTATTTATACTACAGTCCCGGTATTCGTCAGTACGGGCAGGAATTGGAAATTGTTCATTCTCCGTTCCATTACGATGCTAGAATTGTCGACAGTCTTCTAATGGATCACTTCTTAGTTCCTGTTCTGAATACCTCTAGCAAAACCACGAGGTCCTAACTTTTGACATTATTCATTCCAACTAATGCTCTTGATAAAACTTAAAACTATTATTCAAGTCCGCTCTAATGTATTCGGCTGTTTTTAACGTACATTTGAGTCAGTTACAGAATCTGAAATATTGATATAATATTGTCTTCGCGAATATTACACATTTAAATAAAACACTTTAAAACGCGATATATATTAGTTAAACTTATTTGACAATAATGCTAACTACGGCCGACCTGTCGGATGCTTTGAAGCACGGTGGTCACGGAGAGACTGCTGCTTGAAGTGTTTTATTTTGATATTGATGTAATTTTTTTATATCTTTGAAATTGTATTATTTTGGATCCTTATCTCGGTGGTGTAATAATGGGAATGGGTCCAACGTGTTTCTCATCGATTTATTGCTTTTCCTAAACATGTTAGACTTCCTTCTAAATGGGTGCCATATCTAAAATTCTGTTCAAGTCATGAAGCACCGTCCACAGATAAAACGATGTTATGTCTATATTTGTTTAGGTTTCAGTCTGTGGAATTACGAATATAAAAGTCATCAATATCACACGCATCTTGTTGAGGTGTTACATGGCTGGGGTTGCTCGTCAAGTAAACTCCATGCTTATCTGTCCCCTATAAAAAAAATGAGGCGAGCAAATTTCAAAACATTGTATCTGTCGGTCTTCTTGTTTTGTTTGATATGGTATCAATCAATGGCGGCTGTACCTGACGTACGCGGGAAACAAAAGATAATAATAAGTTCTCGAGCGCCGCACGAGCGAACCGAAGATTGCCAATGTTTGACGAATTTTAACAAAAAAAGCTTCAGAAAAATGTCGTCGCATTGATTCAATGTTTAAAAAATAAACATATTTTTCATCAATTATTGTTATGTTGAATCTCCCAATTGCAATATTTGGCAAGTACCTAAGTAAAGTGCACCACCAATACCACAACCCACCAGCTACTGGTATCAATACTTATATGTTTTTTTTAAGTATAATGTACCTGTATCATGTATTTATAATATCCATGAGTTAAAACATATACCGCAGTGTAAGAAAATGCTTACAACATACTGCTTAAGCTTAAAATCCATCAAAGCTGAAGTACGATTTGCTCGAGGCTGTGTTCAAATTACACATCAAGGTACCCGAAACTCGAAATCACTTGTTAAATGACATCCTCCAGTTCACCTCCGCATAGGAACAATGCGAGCGACACAATTCATTTACTTGCCAGCTTTAATAGTGCTGTGTTTAAAAGATATTTAATGATTGTCCATCACGGGTTCGAACTCTGCATGTGCTGTACATGGTTTTACTTTCATTTTGACACACAATTTTTTTTCCATAACTATGTGGACAGAATTCTTGTGATTTCAATAAAACGTTGAAGTCAACTAATATATGTCGCGTTTTAAACCGTTAAACCTGTTTTATTTAAATATGTCCGTTCTAATAACATTTAAGTTAATTGCGTGGGTAGTATTAAAAAAACTATTTTTATCTTAATTTAGTAACCAAGTTATGACGCAGTCAGTGTATA